AAATTCTACAAAATCTTTCAATTTTTAGCATAAAAAACACACACAAATGTTGAAACATCATTGAAGACCGATTTTTCCTTGCTCCGATTCAAATTGTCGATAATGTGACATTACAATGACACATAACAGTGTAACACCATCATTAACACTTTAATTACTGACAAAAAAAATTGTGAAATTATATTTACTGATTCATACACAATGTAAATAGTATGCATCACATAATGTGATATTTATATATACTATTTTTCATAAATGACAGTATTACATCACAGTTTAACATTGCAAAATGATGTCGTCGTTAGATTTGAGAACAAGTAGAGTCATTAAACGTTAAAAAATAATATAAAAAATAAATTTCAAAATCTAACTCAATTCATTAAGATATATTCCATATGGTATAATTTTAAATTTCAAATATGTTCAATCTCTTAAAATATGAAACCATTAATATAATAAAATCAAATCCCATAAAATGAGACTGCTAAACTAACAGACATTCAAATAAGAAAATTAGTATTTTAGGACAAAAAAAATATTTAAAATTTGCCAATGAATACGTAATTACAATACATTTCAAGTCAATGATACTTATCTACAAAAAAAATGTAGTCAAAATATTTTTCCACAATTAAATAGTTTAAAAGCTATTTACTCATAATTTTCCTTTAAAAGGAACCCATTTATAGGGTTTATCAAAAACTGTAGGCAGCGGGACGGGGAAAGGCCCAAATGTATTATCCCACCTCAAAAAAAACTTGTCAAACACAAAATAAGGTGATATTCGATAAAATTAAAAGCTGAATATTGAAGACTGAATGCTGAATTTAAATGTTGAATCTGAATTTTTTAATTCGCAAACTGTTTGGTTTTAACTAAAATTTAAATATTAAATTTAATCAAATTGTTTGACAAATATAAAGAGTTGAAGTTTGAAAATTATTATTATTCTAATTTTATCTTTCTTTTTAACCATCTCTCTACAACTGCCTTATTTCTATCACCACCATTACGATGGCAGTAATAGTGGTGGTGACACAATGATAGTGGTGGCTATAACGATAGTGATGGTTATGCTGATGGTAAAGGTGACGATGACACAGTAGTAATGGTGGCGACGATGGTGGCGACACTGATACAATGGTAATGGTGGCTGCAGCGATAATAATGGTTATATTGATGGTGACGGTGGCACAATGATAGTGGTGGCGACAGCGATGGTGGTGACCATGGCACCATAGTAATAGAGGTGGTGGTGGTAATAGCGACGACAACAATAATGGCGGTGGTGATAGTGGCATAATGGTGGTGACGACAACACAATGGTGGTGACCGTGGTGATGGTGGCGACGATGGTGGTGGTGGTGACAACGGCGATAGTGGTGATGATGTTGGTGGTGATGGTAGAATCAGGGGCGGAGCCAAAATTTTGTCTTAGTGGAGGCAACCTATCCATAGTTGATTTGACTCAAGTTTAAGAGTTTGTCATTAAATTCGTAACAAATAAGATAATAGACTACACATAATCAAAATATAATTCATAAATCCAAACAAAAATTTTAAGAAATCAATTAAAGCAATTTAATCATAGGGAAGAAAAATAGCACTAATCAAAAATTTTAGATAGCCAATTTGAACATGGGTTTTAACAAAAATTCAAAATAGTTGAAAGGAGACCCAAGACGAAACAAAGAAAACTTACATAAGTCCATAAATAATACATCAAACAATCATCAATTCTACAAGAGTTAAACTAATTTTCTAATATAAAAAATTTGATTTTAGATTAGGCTAATACTATTATTAAAAAATTTGGTTAACGAATTACCTCTCCTTAACTTCAACATAATCTTTTAGGATTTTTTCAAATATAATTTGCACAATAATTGAATCTAATAGACTAATTTATTAATGAATACACCAAAGAAATTAACAAATAAACTAAATAAAAGAAAGAAGAGGGCTGGCGGCTAGACGCTTGGACTAGAGTAGAAGTCTAGACGAAGAAGACAAAGGCTTACGAAAAAAAAAAACAGGTGTAAAAAAGAGCTGTCAAAAGTTAGCTTTTAACGGTTTAAAATTATATTAATATATCTTATTCTTTAAGAAAATTTCAATGAAGGTAAGTTTAAGAAATTTTTAAAATTTTTAAAATTACACTTAGGTCTGAAATTTTTATTAAATTTCACTGGAGGCAGCTGCTAGGCGTGGAAAAGCTGCCAAAAGTTAGCTTTTAAGGGTTAAAAATTATATTAATATACATTATACTTTTAAATAAATTTCAGTGGGGGCTAGTTTAAGAAATTGTTAAAATTTTAAAATTATACCTAGATCCTAAAATTTTTTAAAATTTCAGTGGGGGATCTGCCTTCACTGCCCCCATACTAAATCCGTCATTGGGTACATTGATGGTGGTGGCAATGACATAATAATGGTAAGTGTATATTTGTTCATTATGAAAAATTGATAAAAATCCTTGTTGACTAACATTTTTAGTATTAAGTGATAAGTAGATAGCTGGTTACTTAAAATTTTAGTATATTTTTAAAAAGTGCTTAAAATATTAAGTAGTATGAATTTTAGGTTGTCAAATAGATTTAATTTATTAAGTATTTAAAGTATTCAATTTTAAACCTTAAGTGATATTATTAAACAACTTCTAAGTGGGGCCCTGACTATTTATATCTAACCCCTTTTTTATCCACCTTTATCCAAGCAAACAAACACCCCTGCATTGTTTTGAACTGTAATTATTATTTGTTAATTTAATATTGGTTAACTAGTTTATATAGGAGAAAATAATTAGAGTTATTGGTTTGTGAACTAGTCTTATTAATGCGCTAGGAGAACTCTGCACTTGGGTGATAAATAATGCATGATGATATTGGTACTCTCTAGTGAATAGCTAATGGCACTCCATGAGAATGAAAATATGTCACCTATAACCTAGGCTTTTGCTTTTTTTTGAAGAAAAAAAAATGCAAAAAAACTATATTGCATTTTTTATGATATATACTCACTTCTTATTAAACTCACTTTTTTTTTAACGATTAGGGGCGTTTGAACCATTTTACGTGCATCTTAACTAAATCCCCTATTTTGTTTAGTCAAATACAGGTCATCCACAACTGAATTAGGGTATTTATAAAGAATAAATCTCTCATAACTTAGTCCCAAGAGATTGCTAAAATTTAAACTTATGATATTTAAATTTATAGTTCATCTTTATTACCACTTAAATTATATGAAACTGACATTTACCACAAGACTAAGCCACCAACTCACAAATCACACCCTAAAACTATTGCAACATAAAAATGGATTAGTTCTATGGTTGCTTTATGGGCCAGGTATGAAGGGAGTATGGGTCATCTTACTCTAGCATACACGATATCTGATATCTTATGGGGACCGTTCAATCCCCAGCCCACACAGTGTGTGTGGAGTCAAATGAATCCAGGAGGCCCAATAGTTCAGAGGCAGATAAAGAGTTTGACAGTTGAATTATCAGTTTATAAAAATAAAATAGGGAGAATTATACTTGGACCCTCAGAGATTTGTCATTTAATCACTCAGAGTCCCTAAAATTTAAAATATTATATATAAACCCCCTAAAATTTATACGTGCGTAACACTTAAACCCTACTGTAAATATATCCGTTAATAAATTATAACCAGACTCCCTGAAGTTTGTAAACATATATTATTTAGACCCCTTAAGTTCAAAATGTTATAATTAAACAAAAAATACTTCAATGAAAGATAAAATATCAAATATTTTAAATTTTACAATTAAAATTCATGTTCTATTTATCTTTTATTGAAATAAAAATTTAATTTTTTTTAAAAAAATTGTAATTAGTAAACAATTATATTATCTGTTGAAATTTAACTTGGTCGTTTAAACGACCAAATTAAAATACCTAGCTACCACAATTAAAGCAAAAAAATATTATATTCATTACAGTTTGATGCCTTATTTAATTTTTTTAGTTTTATTCTAATATATAGTATAATTATATACTAATTATGATTTTTTTTTAGAAAAACTAAATTATTATTTTTTATTTTATTTCAATAAATTACATAATATAATATGAATTTTAAATGAAAAATATGTGTTATATTATGAATGACTTAGACCACTTATTTGATTTTTTAATTTTATTCTAATCGATAGTATAATTATATATTAATTATAATTTTTTAAGAAAAAATTAAATTTTTATTTTTAATTTTATTTCAATAAATGATACAATAGAATATGAATTTTAGTTGTAAAATTTAAAATATTTGATATTTTATCTTTGATTTGAGTATTTTTTGTTTAAGTGTAATATTTTAAATTTAAGAGGTCTAAGTATTATATACCTATAAACTTCAAGAAGTCTAAGTGTAATTTATTAATTGATATATTTACAGCAGGGGTTTAAGTATTACGCACGTATAAACTTCAGTAGTCTGTGTATAATATTTCAAATGTCAGGGGTCTAAGTGATTAAGTAACAAATTTTAGGGGATCTGAATATAATTATTTTAATAAAATAATAATTAAAATTTAATTTAATTTTTATCTATTTTAATTTAATAGCATATAATTTTTTTCAATTCTTTTTCTGCGCAAAATTATATGTTTGCTGCATCGTCTACAATGTCAAATAATTAAACACACTCCTAAACGTTAAAAAAATCTCATTACTTACAATTACCGCTCTAATTTTTTTCTTCTAATTCTTTCTTATTTTCTCTCCATTTATTTTAATTTCAAATTACTTAATTAAAAAAAATAAAAAATTTATTATTTAAATTTAAAGTATAAAATATTTCATTTTTGATATTATAGAATGTAATTTTGTATAGTATTCCTATTCCCAACACGAGAGATCAAGCGATTGATTAAGTTGAGTATCCCTGATGTTAATCCCTCCCTCCTCTTTTCCCCAAAATCATTAGTGCTCTGAGGGCGCACTGACGCTGATTTTTTTTTTTGTCCTTTTGGTTGAAGAGAGAGAGAGAGAGAGAGTGAGTTGATGATAGGACGAAGAAAATCAAAAATGGTTGAATGTTGAGTGAGAGAGAGAAAGAGAGAATATCGGAGTAAACATACAAGGATGGGACGGCAGATCTCAGTGTTGGTTCAGCCAAAATACCTTGTCATCTTCCTATTCGCCTTAATTCTCATCTTCTATGCATTTTGCATCTCTCGACGGGTATGCTATCTCTCTCCAATTCCGGTGTATAATGTTGATTTTTCTCCGTTTCTTTCTGATTCGGAACTCTTTATATGTTGACTGATCGGATCTGATTGCGACTAAGAGTATATCACATGGCAAATCGCCCAAACGGTTGCTTCTGGTTGGGGATTTAAGGGAATATTTGATTGCTGCAGATTTAGACCGATTGTTTTGAGTTTATTATGAAATTACTGAGATTTTTTTCACTCTTAAGTAGTGATTTATTAGCTTAGTATTCTGTGTTTGCTGATTTGTTGAGTTAATCATTTCAATTTAATGTTCAGGAGGAAGAGAAGGTGGAAGAGGTATATGAAATAACCCACAGAGTATTTTTGGATGTTGATATCGATAAGCAGCGTGTAGGTATTGTCAGGGTGCCTTCTCCTCTATGACTCTCTGCAAATTGTATTTGTTTTGAAACTTATCAGCACAAATATCTCCCATTAAGTTTGCCTTTGATTTTTGCTTCTCATATCCCTGTGAAATTTTGTTGATCTTAAACACATCTTTGTTTGCATTCTACCCATTGTGTTTGCAACTCAATATTGTTTTGCTTTAACATGTTTCCTATTGGTATAGTACTGTCATAATATTCCATCATGAATCCTATTAAACAACACTAATCAAAAAAGATATCGAGTAAACTGTTACGTACACTCTTTTTTGTGTTCTGTGATTATGTGATTGCTTTTATGCATTATCTGCTGGCATTTTTTCCCACCTTAAATTGGCTGCTAATTGATTGGAAACTACAAAGCTGTAATATGGTACTTAGTTATATGTTTGCAAGTGTTCTGAAGGACTTACTTTTTCATGATCACTTGGTGCTTTGGCAAGTTGCTATTGAACTTGTAAAGTACTTCCCCCTTTTGAGGGGCCACAATATTCTTATATTTTGGTGCATAAGGTAACTAGTACTCAAGACCGTAATGGCCTGCCTCATCTCATCGTTTCAATTTTCCCCCAAGAAGTGTTTTTGGGTTCAATTTTTCCCCAAGAAGTGTTTCTTTTGCTGTTCAAATTACTCTTTTCCTTATTTCCACTCAAAAATTGTAAGTCAGTTTATTGCTAGATATAAAGCTAGGGAAGTACTTAATCAACTATTAGATACAAGCTGACCAAAACATCCTCTTACAGTTGGTTCAAGTTTATGTACGTGTTTTTCAAGGCTATGTAAAGTGCAATAGAGTTCTGTTTTACTGGGAAATGTTTGGATTAGTTTGAAATGGGAAAAATAATATGTTGCATTATGAACTTACTCATTGGTTCAAATGTTCCCAATGCATTATTCTTTCCTCACGAATATGTTTCACCCTTATATTTCATTTACGTGTCAAGTCATAATTTGCACATTTACACAATAAATTGTTGGTTCCTGGATCTTGTTGCATGGCATTTATCATTCTTGGAATATTCATAGATGTTAATCTATCCCTTATTTTGATTCACTTTTAAACTTTACTCCTGTTGGATATAGGGGAAGTATGATTGAAGATGTCATGTAATACTAAATTATAAAAGATTTTTGTTCCCTTTTGCGCTTTTGGTTTTGGGGCACTAAACAAGTTTTTGAGTTTTGACTTTTTTTTGAATGTCTGCAGGAAGAATTGTTATTGGATTATATGGCCAAGTTGTACCTAAAACTGCTGGTATGCCCTCAATTTCATTATGTTGTTTTGTTACTAAATACCAAATCCATCGCGCCAAATTTCTTTTCCCAAAACTATCATTGTGATTCGTCATTGGAGGTACATGAAAAGTTGGTTAACTTTTGAGATAAATTTGAGAAGAAATAATGTCGTTTTAAAAGTTTGCATTACATGAATTTAGCTTAACTCTATTCCATTCACTTAACCATAGCAGAGCATCAAAGGAAGAGATAGAGCATGAGAGAGTAGACCATGGTAACTTATAGGAACACCCATAACTCAACATGCTTGTTTAATTAACAGTTTTGAGTTTCACCATGAAATGTACCTTCTATTAGGATCAGTTCACCAATTCTCGTCTGTCTTCAATGTTATGTGGTTACTTGTTTGCCTAATCTTACAGATTTGGAAATGACACCGATCTATTTCTTTGTTCAGAAGGGAACTTTTGGAAAATTTTACAGTTTTTTTTCATGTTACATTATTGGCTAATCCTTTTGAGTTTTCTTACTTGCAGAGAATTTCCGGGCTTTATGCACAGGTATTTGACTTTTAAATGAATATCTGTCTCATGTGGTTTTAACTTTCTAATAATGTGTAACGTCCATATGGAGGCTGCTTTTAATGTTATCTACCTGCTGCACATTATTTGCTCTTTTTTAAACCAGGGGAGATGGGGAAAGGTGTTGGAGGTAAACCTCTCCACTACAAGGGTAAACCATTCCATCGCATAATACCTGGCTTCATGATTCAAGGGGGAGATATTATGTATCTCGATGGAAAGGGGAACGTGTCTATATATGGTGGTACCTTTCCTGATGAAAATTTCAAGATAAAGCATTCACATGCAGGTAATAGACATTTGTTTTTAGTAGTCTGTTTTTGCTCACTTTCTTGTATGATTCACAATGGCACATGCGGAAGTTGCTTATGGCCAAAAATCTTCTCTATGTACCACCATATATAGAGGGCTTTGCAAACTATCATCTTTCTGAAGCTGGAGTTTCTTGCAGGTGTTGTTTCCATGGTGAATTTGGGACCTGATTCCAATGGCTCACAGTTTTTCATCACCACAGTCAAGGCCAGTTGGTAAGCAGTCGCATAGATTCATATTGTCTTAGATTCAAGAAAAGTATAAGGTCCCAGAAAACCTATACGATCTCGATATTATAAGTTTGCAGTCGCTGTACGATGTCCTGCATTACAAACTCTGAGCTATATCCCTAGTTGATGGTTGAAATTCTATTCTATTCTTTGGGCATGGTTTCAGACTGCTTGTTAGTCACTGCACTAGATCCACACACATAGTATGTTGATGTTTACTGTAATGATCATGGAAATTTCTAGGTTGGATGGGGAGCATGTTGTGTTTGGTAAAGTTATTGAGGGCATGGATACAGTGTATGCGATAGAGGGAGGAGCGGGAACCTACAGTGGCAAACCCAGGAAAAAGGTAATCATTGCCGATTCTGGGGAGATTCCGAAAAGCAATTGGGATGAAGACAGCAAAAGTTTAACAAATGTCGCAGTATAAATATACTAATGTGGTTAGTTAATTTACTTTCCCTCTGTGTAATGTCATGAAATTTAGATTGAAGAAGCCTTTGGATTAGCTATTATTGATACGTACAATGCCTATTCGTAGAGAAATCACAGTAAATGAAGTATTTTTCGCGTAAAACAGTCATTTCATTTGTGGATTAAGCTTTTGCATACATGTGACCCACATCAAACCTCATCAAGAGTTTCGTGGACTTGGTTTACTGAAATTGAGTGGTAAGAGAGGGGGGGGGGGGGTTTGTATAAATCCTCTCTAATACAATTGAATAAATCAAACGGGATTAGAGATGGGAATATGATGCTAGGATGGAAGGGGATATTAATTCCTTGCATTACACATATTCGCAGCCCATATATGGTATGATTAATTAAGAAAATTAAATTATAATTTCTGATTTAGTACCGGCTATCCATTGATTGCGGTGTTACCTTTGGTCATACTACGAGTCGGCAAGATGGATGGGCCTCCCGCGGCATGTGGACACATCATGTCTGGCTTTGGTGATGTGTCACAGTCTTAGGATGTCAGGGATAACAAGGAGTGATCATGATTCATGACATGTCCGCCACTGGAATAAGTCTATGGTACAACCTAAAGTACCAGAAAAATGTAAAATCAAAATGTGAATCATTGGATTGGTAAACTGTCCATCTTTCATCCGATGGTTCATATTCATTCTTTTTTCTTGCACGTACTAATTCAGTCATTTGGTGTAAACTGTAAAGAGTAATGTTAAATTAATTAAAAAAAAGTAGTAACTAAAACTTTTCTTTTTCTCGTTAAGTGAAGTTTAGCAATTGCATGCATATTTCATGTGAAATCTACGTAATCTTGTTAGGTGCGTCTCTCAAACGATGTGTTGTTACATGCAATGTTTTTGTGTTTTAGTCACGAGCATGTCACTTTTTTTTTTTATCAATTAATGTTTAATATAAATAAAATTTGTAGAGGAAAATTTGAATTATACATCTTTTTTATGCAAGAATAAATCATTATGGCATGTCAACGGTGACACAAATTTAGTTTGATTTATAGTAATGGATCATATACTACACCTAAAAGAATAACATAACATAAGATGAATAACAATTCCATTTTCAATCATTTAGACATTTAGTTTTAATAGTATTAATGTTGCGTTGCAATTCTTTTACTTATTACTAGATTATGTCATATTAGGTTTTGTTTAAAAAACTTTGATCAATTCATACGTTATACCTTTTAAATTGGATTAGTAATTGTCAACTTTACTCTCACTCTCTCTCATTGGGGAAAAAAAAAGGTCCTGAAGAAATAACATTATTGAAATTGGGCCATAGAGTCTAAATGATTGTGGGTCTACTCCAACCCTTTTAAGTCCCACTAAAATCATGAATTAAGATAACCCCACCCCCCCCCCCCCCCCCCCAACACCCAGCAACAATCTGTTCCACAAATATCAAGGAAAGCGACTCGCTCTATTCCATTGACGACTGCTTTTACATCTTTCCCTACGATACAATAATCTTTCCACTTTTTGTTGTTTTTAAAAAAGTAAATATTACCGCCCCGGTAGTCTTGGTATAAATTATACTTATTTATGTTTGTTCTTTCATGGTATCTAATTATTAAATAGAATTTGATTCACGATAATAATATAAATTATTATTTAACTTTAATAGTATTGTATTGAAGAATTATTTTTTTGAATTAATAGATATGACTCAAATTAATTATTGTTCGGGTAATTTTAATATTATTACTTATTAATGGCTCCTTTCCTCTCTTTTTTTTGTGTAAAAAAATAAAATAAATACTGAGCAACATTGGAAAACGACGTCATCATGCTACTAATTCATCTTAAACGACATCCTAACGTGAGTGCCAAAAAAAATTGCTAGCTCATTAGTCATCAGTATCATGCGACAAAATCATATCTGCAATTCCGACAAAATTACCTAAAAAGTAATTATTTATTAATCAAAAGTAATTAAAATACCAAAAAAGGACAATAATCCCTCTTTATATCACTCCATCGCTGTTGGTGATTCACTCTCCATTTTCAACATCATCACTCTGCTCTCTCTCCAAAACCCTACTCTACTCTCATGGCTTCTCTTCTCCATCTATCTCTACTTCTGTCTCTCTTCTCCATCTTCTTCAATTTTTCGGCGAAAATCCCAACAGTTTCAGCTGAGCAGAGGGCGAAAACCTACATTTTCGGAGTGGACAGCCACTCTAAGCCGTCCATCTTCCCGACTCACTACCACTGGTACAGCTCCGAGTTCACTGACCCTCTCAACATTCTCCACGTATACGACACCGTTTTCCATGGATTCTCGGCTTCTCTTACTCCGTCTCAAGCCGCTTCGGTGCTTCAACACCCTTCCATCCTCGCGACATTCGAGGACCGTCGGAGGCAACTCCACACCACAAGATCTCCGCAATTTCTGGGGCTCCAAAACCAGCGTGGTCTCTGGTCTGAATCCGATTATGGTTCCGATGTCATAATTGGAGTCTTCGATACTGGAGTTTGGCCGGAACGGCGGAGTTTCACCGCTCGGAATCTAGGCCCTGTTCCGACTCGTTGGAAAGGTATGTGTGAACCTGGAGTTAAATTTACTGCCAGAAATTGTAATCGTAAACTTGTCGGAGCTAGATTCTTCTCTAAAGGACACGAAGCAGCTTCGGGATTCGGTGGAATTAGTGGCGGAATCAATGATACCGTTGAATTTCGGTCTCCGAGAGATGCTGATGGACACGGAACTCACACGGCGTCGACGGCTGCGGGGAGATATACCTTTCAGGCGAGTATGGCTGGTTATGCTTTGGGAGTCGCTAAAGGTGTCGCTCCGAAAGCTCGATTGGCGGTCTACAAGGTATGCTGGAAGGATTCGGGATGTTTCGACTCTGATATTCTCGCTGCGTTCGACGCCGCCGTTACAGATGGCGTCGACGTGATTTCAATCTCAATCGGAGGCGGTGATGGCATTTCTTCGCCGTATTATCTCGATCCAATTGCAATTGGGGCTTATGGTGCGGTTTCGAGAGGTGTTTTTGTATCTTCTTCAGCTGGAAATGATGGACCTAATGGAATGTCCGTCACTAACCTCGCGCCGTGGCTTACAACAGTAGGAGCCGGCACAATTGATCGGAATTTTCCAGCTGATGTGATTCTGGGCGACGGACGAAAACTCTCCGGCGTATCGCTTTACGCAGGACAGCCTCTGAATGGAAAAATGTATCCTTTGGTTTACCCTGGTAAAACAGGGTTACTCTCTGCTTCACTCTGTATGGAAAATTCACTCGATCCCAGTTTGGTGAAGGGAAAAATCGTCGTCTGTGATCGCGGAAGCAATCCTCGGGTGGCTAAAGGATTGATTGTGAAGAAAGCCGGCGGTGTAGGAATGATTTTGGCTAATGGAAATTCAAATGGAGAAGGCTTGGTTGGTGATGCTCATCTTTTGCCGGCCTGTGCTGTTGGTGCCAATGAAGGTGAGGCCATTAAGTCCTATATTAAGTCCAGTGCGATGGCAACGGCAACTATTAATTTCCGCGGTACTATGCTTGGAGTTAAACCGGCGCCGGTGGTGGCTTCATTTTCCGGCAGAGGACCAAATGGTTTGAACCCTGAGATTTTGAAGCCGGACTTGATAGCCCCTGGTGTGAACATTTTAGCAGCATGGACTGATGCTGTTGGTCCAACTGGTTTGGATTCCGATAATCGGAAAACAGAGTTCAATATACTGTCTGGTACTTCAATGGCTTGTCCTCATGTAAGTGGTGCGGCGGCATTGCTTAAATCGGCTCATCCAGATTGGAGCCCGGCCGCAATAAGATCGGCGATGATGACAACGGCTAATATAATGAACAAACAGCTCAAACCCATGACTGATGAATCCACTGGCAAACCATCCACGCCATATGATTTTGGTGCTGGACATTTGAATCTTGATTTGGCAATGGATCCCGGGCTTGTTTATGAAATTACCAATGATGATTATGTGCACTTTTTGTGCTCAATTGAGTATGGTCCAAAGACAATTCAGGTGATCACACGATCACCGGTGAATTGCCCGATGAAAAAGCCATTGCCGGAGAATCTGAATTATCCTTCCTTTGCAGCGTTGTTTTCAAGCTCATCGATGAGGGTATCGAGCAAGACATTCTTTAGGACAGTGACGAATGTGGGTGAGAGAAATGCGGTGTACAGAGTGAAGGTTGAGGCACCCCAGGGAGTGACGGTGAGTGTCAAACCAGCAAGATTGGTTTTCTCCGAGGGAGTGACGAAGCTGAGCTATTTTGTGACACTAACGGTCGACAGTAAGAATCTGGTGTTGGGTGACTCGGGTGCAGTGTTTGGGTCACTGTCTTGGATGGATGGAAAGCATGTGGTTCGGAGCCCAATTCTGGTAACCCAAATGGATCCATTGTAATCGAACTTGATCATGTAGTTTTGATCGAGGATCAGACGGTAGATGGGTTGGTAGGTAATGGGATAGAGTTTGATGAAGCTAATACACTGTGTCCTCTACAGTTGCAAGACTTTGCTATGACAAGATAGCTTAAGGTATTTGTGTGTGCGTGTGTTTCCCTGCTTTGAAGTTTATAGGACTAGGACTAGGACTGGGCAAGTTTTTTTGGAAGTGACTGTTTTGAAGTCTTCTTTTCCATGATGTATAATGTTTTTACAGATGTTAAGAAGCTTACAGGGTGACTGTTATTTATATAATTATGGTTCAAAAGAGGGGAAAAGAGTCATAAAAGAATAAATGCATGCTTTTTTTTTTTATCTGAAAATAAATGTATGTTTAGGCATGCTATTTGAAGGTGGTGGGAGATGGGTAGCCTTGTATGTGCCTACTTCTAATGACACCCACAGAAGCCTTGAACGAGACAACTCAAGTATAGCATAGGGAATCAATGTTGCTGAAACCAAATTTTTAAGTTGCATTTTATGGTTTGGACATATTTATGGAAGATCTGTTGTTGTACAAGTGAAGGAGGTGGAGGTGGAGGTGGAGGTGGAGGTGGAGGTGGCGGAGGGGATTTTGCTTTGGTTGATGTTTGAGTTTCCTGTTGGATGGCCATAAAACTCTTCATTGACATGTGATCCCTTATTTATCTATAGTAATTGTCCGTACCTGAAGGCACTGTATAACATAATAAAATTACCAGAATAAAAAATTAAACCCACAAAAATTAGCAAACAAAAAAAAATAATAAAAAATTATAGCACCCACAAATACTATCATAGCATCAAATTGACTATCATGTTATTATTTTCAACCCTATTAAATTCTCACATACAATGAAAATGAAAAGCCTCTTAAATTACATTACAATGAAAATTAAAAGCAAAATTGCCAGATTGACAGCACAACTACCACCTCAAATTTTGCCTTGAATTGCTCTCTAATTTTACTATTGCATTTCGTTGTCCATTACTTTTCAGTCTCGGAGGAAAACAAACAACTTGAATCATGGAAATGAGTAGGTGGTGATAATGAAAAGAGAAAATCAACTAAGATAACCTCTGCTCATGATCATTCAACTCATCCCTCAATTAGCATGAGAGTAGTGATTTCTGCCGCTTAATTGATGCCCCAAAAAAATTTATTAGACGGTGAAAATAAACCATGTCTTCATAAAAATATGAGAGAAGATTCTACCAACTCACTCCTCTATTAGTTCTACTTTCAAACAAAATTTAGGCATCTAATATTAAAGATTTGATGAGATTGTGTGCTGGAAAACCTGCCAACTCACTTACCAAATTAGGTGTAGACTTTCTCCATTGAGGTAGCATCAACTCAACTAATAAAACACACACACACAAAACTACAAAAGTATAAATACGTGCAAAACAAAACAACTAAGTAGAGAATTTTAGGTTAAATAAATTGGATAGGCTTGAGAAGAATTAAAAGACAAAGACCTCAAAAGAAAGAAAAATAAAAAGATCACCAGTTTAATTGCATAAATTCACAACCAATCCAACCCATAAACTCATCATTACGAAATTCACAAACCAAATAAACCCAAATTTACAAAACAATAAAAAAAATTAGATCAAATCAAAATTTTCAGACACATGCTTAATTGGTGCACTCTCCTCACCACATGCTTCGACATCAAAATCAAGTTTAACTATATTTCTACAACAACTTCAAATAGAATCATCAAAAATCCAGTTAAAGTAATTAAGAAAACCTCAGTTATACATTGTACAACCTCGCCAAATTGTTAAGAGCAACACATATTGAAGTGCACAATAGCCATTATTGTTCGGTTGACAATAGAGAAACACTTTTTCTTTGACAAATTTTCACAACTTAGAGAAATCTTGTCTTCAGACCATCTATATAGCCCCAATCAGTCGATCCAACAGTCCAAGCATCGAATGCGTATCACCAAAACACACCTACATAGGCCATTACATATAAAAAAAATGAGCAAACAGGAAAAGAGTAAGACACCAAAAAATGAGTAAAGATTTTCATGCTCAAACAAACACCTAATTTATAATTCAAAAGATTAAATTCCACAACAAAACACACGCACACACATACACTCAAATTACGACAAATCCCAACTATAAGAGTAAGACAGTCCATCACAAACAGTTGTCAACAACCAATGAATCAACTCAAAAAACAATTATAATCCAAAGTAAGCCAACAACATAGGTTATCTATAAACACCTGATATGAACATCAACATCCGCGGAAACACCTGCAGAAATACAATTCTAAGGAAAAATGTTTGCGGACGTATGTGTATATAAATATCATATGCATGTACATACATATGTTGTCAATTTATCATTAACATATGAACCATACAACTAATTAGAAATATTACATATTTTTAATAGAACAAATTGATACTTAATCATATCATTAACAAACTGGTTCTTAATCAACTAATTCTTTTTATACAACTAAATCCACTAAATATAAACCAAAAAAGGAACCTAGAAATACACACCCATTTTATGGTGAAAAATCTGGCCGCGCCTATTACTCATCCTCGAATGTAAGAAGAAACCTGGATATTGTGTAGTATCAAAAGTTCAAAGAAGATTAGGTTTTGTTCCCAGCCTGGTAGTAACAAAAAAAAACCGTAATGCAATAAACGAAATATGTAGAGATAAAACTTACCATAGAGATGTATTCTTCAATTTGAGATACAACCTGTTTCATGAAAAAAAAAGTTATTAGATCATATTTACAATATCAAGATCTTGCATAATATATAATTCCTTAACTTGAACACATGAAAGGGCATAGACAATTTTCCAAATAAAAAAAAACAACTCTAATATTCCAAAAAATTAATACCAAAATAAACATCAAAACTTAAAACCCAATTTTCATTCCAAACATTCGAAATGCAAAGCCTGCGAAAAAAAAAAAACGAAACCATAAAAGAGCGTAGAGACCCAAAATAATATGCATAAATCAAAGTTGACAAAATCAAAAAAAAAAAAATCAATGAATCAGACAATCCAAGTGGGTGTGTTGTGTGTTAGCAGAGATTGGAGGTGTATTTGTGTGTACTGTAAGGGATTTTGAGTGTGAGAGGTTGAAGAATAGAAAGTTGTTAGGGATTTTGGGTGTGAAGAGAGATGTCTTCATTGTATTGGTTTTGGACGTGGGTGGGTGGATGTGCACGCATGTGTATGTGTGTGTGTTGGGGGTGTGGGGGGGGGAGGGGGGGAATAGAGAGAGGGCATACCTTGTCGCTGGTGGATTCATCTATGATGGATCGTTCGTCATCAGTGGTGGCTCACTTCACCGCCGCTGGTCTGGGTAGAGTGAGAAGAGATGGTGAAGAGAGATTCGAGTGGTAGGAGAGAGAAAGAGAGTCGGCAGAGAGATTAGACTTGGTATTTGAAAAATTATAGATTCGAAAATAAATTATAGGCGAAGAGAATGTGATTGAGTTCATGATTTTGGGGGGAATAAAAAATAAAAATTGTGGTGAGCATCAGATCAAAAATTTTGAATGATGTGAGACGTCAATAACTCGAGATAGTTTAGAATAATGTCGTACGTTAGAGGATTTTTTTTTTTACGAAACAATCTGAACCGCTATTTGTCTAATGAATTCAAAATCGTTCTACTTTGTAGATATAAATATTATTATTAATAAAAATACCTTAGATGAAAATTTTTTAAATCTCTATTTTATCCTTAGAAAAGATTGTAAAGACCACTCTATCCTTTCACAATTAAATATCTAAATTATTATCGTATCCTTATATATTTAAATCTCCAAAATAATTATAACATCTATTTTAATTAATTATTCTCTATGTATAAATATTTATTTTTTGATTAATTACATTACTCTTAAAAAAATATGCATTATTATATTTTCAATAAATTATTCAAAAAAACTTCAAAAACTCCATCTTTCTAATATTACTCATCATCTTATATATATATATATATATATATATATATATTTTTCATTGAAAAGTTGAACCCTTTCATTTTTAATATAAAAAATAATTATATATATAATTTTTTTAAATCAATTTATGTTACATCAATATAATTCTTCAATCACAATAAATTTTAAGATAAATTACACTGACATTCATGTAGATTGGTTTATTTACAGGGACACCCCTTCAGCTTTCTGAAATTGCACGGATACTCCATGTCAAGTCTTGTACCTTAATAAATACAACAAAAAATGCAATTTTTCATAATTATCCTTACCATGCATCATTTTTTACTTATCATCCTATCATATATTTAAATACTAATAAATAGGTCATTTTCGAGTTCAACCCGTCAAACCTGAAATTGACACGATCAACCCATTTTATTTAATCACGTCAAATTTCCTCTATTTTTTCGTTTGTATGTTAACACGAACAACACAGAATTGCAATAAAAATAAAATATTAATTATTTATTACTATTTATTAAGCACTAACATAATTATTGTATAAAAAAAATATTTGTACTCATTATTATTGTTATGTTTATTAAGTCAATTTTTAGTTTATATAAAAAGTATGAAAATGGATTCAATTAAGGAATAATAGAATCTTAGAGTTAAATCTTAACGTTAAATTTTTTTATTTAAAGTTTATATGAATCAACACAAATATGAACACACCTGTGTGGGTAACCCAGCAGTGTGGAGTTAAACCCAGACAAACTGTAGACCCGGAAGTTAGGGTTTTGACTCTCGCCGATATCTCTCAGACTTAACTGATACCTGTGATTTGCGTGTAATTACAGGTATTTGGGGTTTACTCTCGCAATAATAGGTCCAAAGTGGCGTTACCATAGAGATGTTCCACTGTATAAAAAAGAACATGAATGCGAACATGAATACGATACGAAAATAAGTAGATTAGTTTAATTTTATCTAAGGATAATATGAGTATTATAGGATAAAAAGTTAATTATATAATCACTTTTTTGACATTGTCAATAACGATGTTAATCATAGGGATACTTTATGCAATGAGAAGGTAAACAGTAAGGGAAGTCAGTGTAATTTCAAAAAATTGAGGGGAAAACTCTATAATTTGACCAATCTGCAGGGATGTCAGTGTAATTTACCCTAAACCTTATAAGTTGTATTAAGATTTTTTTTTTTAAAAAAAATAAATATCGTATGTATTTTTAAGTAAAACTTGAATTCTTTAGAATTTTATAATATAAATAAAGATATTTGAAAATATAAATTATAGAGTAATATATTAAATTTTATTCTAATTGACTTAACTTTTTTTTAATTACAGTAAGATTTCAATGTGATTAGTATATAAACAATTACTTTTATTTTATTCAATGAATTATAATTGAAATCTTAATCAAATGAATTTTAAGAAATTTAATTTCTCAAACATCCCCAAAAAAGTCGATCTTAATCACAAAATTCTAAAAATATACGACTTTAACTATTTTTTTTATAGTTAGAACAAAAAATTTTGGGAATATATAAAATTTTCATAATCTTATAATAGAATATGAATAATAAAAAATTAAAATTTATAAATATGAGATGATATTTAATTCGGATACATATATACATAATATGTTTTATTAATTTTTACATACAAAAATTATTTACGTACAACGCACGTGGTACATTCTTAATAACCTAAAAACCCTCTTATAATAGTGATGCAAACATTCTATGGAATTTTTTTTCCTCCTAAATTATCTCATGATCTATTTACAGGGGGCTCCACCATACCATTATTTTGAAGCATCACCAATATATCACTTGACATGCTACTTACTCTGATCTAGATAAAGCTCCTGTGTCAAGGATTGAGAATAAAGGAAGGAAACCATAAGATAAGACCCTCAAAATACTACTATTTATTTATATATAATATTGATTTATTACTAATTAATAAATATTACGTGACAGCATTGACGATACTGTTACATTTAATATTTTCTCACGGGGAAGAATGCGATGGAGGTGCAGCCGTAGGCACATGAGATAAGGATGGGTCTGGTAGGGCATCTGGCTTTCAACCCGACCTCACTGTGGTACCGCACCACACAAGAATATATACAGCCGCTGTAAATTTGGTAAAGTACAAGGGTATTTTGGTCCAACTACCCGCGAAACTTAACGTCCTGCAATGCAGTTACTTTACACGAGTTCAAGCATCTCCACGATTATTACGCGGCTCGTCCATGACTTGCCACCTGTCTTCAACCGGAGTACTTATCAGGTACCAGCTTGGCATGTCATTTCGTACTCAGCACCAATTACAAGTGGCCACCTCATCTATATGTCATATATAATCACAAAAATGCCAAGTCGGCAAAATAAGGTAATTTAGTGACGGAAGTAACGTTTCCGTTTTCTATCTCCACTGCATTCTATTGACCTCAGCCGCCCACCCTCTTTATTGCCGCTCTTTTCTATCTACTTTTTCTTGTTTCTTTGCAAAATCTCCCCCTCTCTCTCTCTCGCTCTCCGTCTTCTCTTTTTTTCATTTCAACCATTTTTTTCAATAAGCAATATTTACCAACAAGAAATGTTGAATCAACACGGGATATTGTTTTCTCGTCTTTTTCTTTTGGGTGTCATGTGCATGTGTGGTGTCTTGGCTTTGCAGGGATTGTGTGCATATTTGTTCTTTTGTGTGTGCGCGCGCGCACACTTGTATGCCACTTTGTGGGGGTTGTGTATATGAGTGTTTTTTGGTGACTTATGTTGGGTGTGTTATGATTATCCGTATAAGTGCACGGGGAAAAGTTGTGTGCCTGATTGCAATGATATTGATGGATTATTTTTGTTGGGTAAAATATGAATAAAGATATTTCAATTTGATTTGATCAATGTTGATTTGTTTGTATTTTTTTTTTAAAATATAGGATGTAATGAGATTATAAATTTCATAGTATGGTCAGTCTTTCTGTAACATTGTGTTATTGTTTTTTTTTTTTGGTTAAGTCAGGTCCCCCTCTCTCTCTCTCCCTCGGCCAGCACAAACGAATGAGTCTTACCAATTTTAAAAATTTGGATAATATTATTTGAATCCAAAATATAATCTAATTTGATTGTGATATCCCGTGAAAAACATTATATTAGTGGTACAAATTGTAGTGGGATAATTAATTATTGGCGTATCTTTATCCCCCAATGAACAAATAATGCTGATGCTAGTTGGTTAAAAACAAATATTGCACATCATTTCAGGGTGCTGAGCTAAAACATGAATAACAATGGAAATGTAAAATTATGAAAAATAAGAGAAGATAAGATTGTCGATAGGCGAAGAAGGAGGGGGTATGAGTCAACAATTTTAAGATAAAAAAAGAGGCCAAAAAAATGGTGAGAATAGGAGTTACTAATACATTTAGTGCAATAAGAAAACGTTGTTAGTAATTTGGTGTAATGTTAAACTTATTTATTAAATTAAAATATTTTTAAAAAAATATATTTGATAAATACTTATTTCTTAAAAAATTTAATTGTCATATTTTCTCTGTTAATAGATATACCCTAAAAAAAAAAAATTGAACTGACATGACATATCACAGTAAAGAGATAAAACGGAAGGAGAAGCGGACGTCAAGAAATAAGTTTATTTCACTAATTTTGTATTTATTTGACACTATCTAACATATTATTGGGGTTGCCTCTCGAGTGGTAGTGAGTACCATAACAGCCCAGTACCGGAATATTTTCTCCTTCAACCGACAAACCCCCCACGCTCTGTCATTTGCTTAAACCCTAAGCTTACTCCCCTATAAAAACCCTAATTTTTGCAATCAAATCGATCAACACAGTACCGCGTAATCACATACAGCATAACCAAATTTCAAAACAAGCCATGGCATCCCATAAGCAGAAACATTCTCTCTACCCTGAAGTCATTCAGTCCAACCCAGAATCAACTTCTCCATTTCTCTCAAACCCTAATCAAAACCCATCTTCTTCATCATTATACCCTTCTGTTGACATCGAACATCTCGCAGAAAATCTCTTCCCAGACACCCAGGACGAAGTTGACCAACAAAACCCTAGTCTTAGGCAGTCTGGTCAGCCAATGGCTTTCGAATCATCCGAAGAAGTTCTTATCAAAATCCCAGGAGCCATAGTCCACCTCATCGACAGACAACAAAGCATCCAACTCGCAAGCGGTGATTTCGCGATCGTTTGTCTCCGGCAAAACGGCAACGTCGTGGCGGTTCTCGCCCGTGTCGGAGACGAAATTCAGTGGCCGTTGGCGAAAGACGAGGCTGCCGTAAAACTCGACGAGTCCCATTATTTCTTTTCTCTTCGCGTCCCCTCCGAGACCAAGCCTGATGTTGATGATAGGGTGAGTAATAGTGTCACCATCGAGTCTGAGAACTTGGTGAATTATGGATTGACAATTGCGTCCAAGGGTCAAGACAGCTTGTTAAAGAAATTGGATGGGATTTTGGAGAAATATAGTGCCTTTTCGGTACAGAAGGTGTCAGAGGCGGTGGATGGGAATATGATAGTGGCGAAGGGGGTATCGCCGGCGGAGATGGTTAACAAGAGGGAGGACATGGAGCGGAATTCGGTGGCGTATTGGACGACGTTGGCACCGAATGTGGAGGATTACAGTGGTTCTGTTGCGAGGATGATTGCGGCCGGATCGGGGCAGGTGATCAAGGGGATTTTGTGGTGTGGGGATGTAACTGTGGATAGGTTGAGGTGGGGGAATGAGTTCTTGAAGAAGAGGATTGGACAGGGTTCGAATTCGAATGTCAGTCCTGAGGCATTGAAGAGGATGAAAAGGTATGTGATTAAATGTCTGCTCATTAGCTTTTATGTTGATTTTGTTTTCTCTCTGTTTTTAATATATAGTGGTTTTTGATGCTACTGCTGTTTATTAATATCTCTGTTTTGGCTTCATAGTTTGTTCATTTATTTGTGGCTAATTTAGGATGTGTCCTTAGCTGCCTCTTTAGCTTTGTTGATAAACTTGGTCAGTGTTTTGCTTAATAAGATAGTTTGAACCATATGGTTGGTTCAAATTTCCCTACCAACCTAATGATATTTTGCTTGGTTCTGCTAGTAAGGTAGCCCTATTGCCTGTTGAACTTGATCAATAATGATGGTTAGTCCATGGTTGGAAACTTGAGTGGTTGACTGGCGCACCGTATTCCACTTGTTTGTTGTTCTAAATTGTTTCCTGGGTATGATTTGATTACTTTCTTTTATGTTTTTTGTGTACTTTTTTAAGTAGGGGGTTACTTTCCATTTTTGATTGTATGTTTGTTTTTTATTTGTTCGAGTTTACTCTCTTAAACTTAATCATACGTCTGGTAGTGTATATATATATATGACCTATAGAAATATCCTATTCATATGTTAAGTTTCATGTAAATCGATTCTTTCATACTATTATTTTTTTGACACATTTTTTTCCCTTCAAAAAAGTTACTTAAAAAAGTATTATTACCAAAGGTTACATTAGTCTTCCTTTTTTATTCTTGAATTTTGGTTGCTTACATTTTAAACTATTCCTTGCTTGAAGTTATGTTGTTTTATATTTAGTATGGGTGTATGATGTTGTTTTGTAATTGTTTCAGGGTTAAGATGATGACAAAGATGTCGGAGAAAGTGGCAACTGGAATTCTCTCGGGGGTTGTTAAAGTCTCTGGATTCTTCACAAGTCCAATTGTGAACTCCCAAGTCGGCCAGAAGTTCTTCAGCCTTCTCCCTGGGGAAATAGTTCTTGCTTCCCTGGAAGGATTTAGTATGTCTCCTTTCTTAATTTCTCGATTAATTTTTGGGCTGTACCGGGCTTCCTGCAGTGAACTCATAGTATTGGCTTTTTTGCATTCGAACAGACAAGGTTTTTGATGCTGTTGAACTAGCTGGAGGGAATGTCATGTCAACGTCTTCGGTTGTGACCACTGGACTTGTTTCACAGAGGTAAAATATGTAGTAGCCAGCAGGCCAATACTCCAATTGCATCATGATTTTTATTTTTATTCCATTCTTCATCCCAATTGATATTGTTCTGTTGGGCAAGTTGGATTCCCACTTGGTGGGGGCTCTCCTGCTCTGATGGAACTTAATATTGTAGAAGGTGGGACGTTATATGTATATCTTATCTTCTTCCACTCGTGGTCACTGGCAGACAGCGACCATAATGGACTAAGAAAAGACAGGCACTTTTAAGTACGATTATCTCTTAACATCTATTGAAGCTATTGGTTTGTTGCAGGTATGGGGAACAAGCAGCAGAGGTGACACACGATGGGTTTGGTGCTGCAGGGCATGCCATAGGGACTGCTTGGGCCGTCTTCAAGATAAGAAAGGCGCTCAATCCAAAGACTCTTATTAAACCTACAACTCTTGCAAAAGCTGCTGTTAAAGCAAATTCTGCTAAATTAAAGGCTAAACAGAAGAAATGATCGCACAAGTCGGCCATTGTTTAAAATGTTTCGAGGGGAAAAAAAACTTACGGATGCTTCATCCATAGTATATGTAAATGTTCGGTCTTGCTTCGTCTGAATTTCAATGGAATTCCACTTTCAATCCTAGATTGCCTAAGCTAGTTATTATATGGTGCAAATTAAGCAGTTGGGAAAAGATTTCATATTATTTGAGGGGAACATGAAACTGATAAAATGGAAGTATCGTCTTCATATTCTACAAGCTGTATTGAAAGTTATTAGAATGTACCAAAAGAACAGGGTTCTTAGAATTGGAATCCCTTTGATCTGCATAAAAACGTAGACTTTCATCCGACCAAAATATTATTTGTACTGGTAATGTATAGAAGAAGAGTGGCGTGAAGCTAATTTTGAGTTTTATAATAATAGTACATTGAAAAGGATGAATAATATTTCTCGGAAGACTGGTGTTCTTCGGTGGCTGCAGTTGTTACTGATGTAGAACTGACGTGCATGGTTTTTCTTAAATATTAAACACGTACTCTTATGGTTGGTGATCTGCCTCTCTGCAGTGGCTTCCGTCAATAAGAAGTTTTGAAGGGCTTGTAAGTCTTGAGATCCAGTACAACACCAGCCACAGAACCGACAGCCGCCGCAATGGAGATAAACAGGCAAACCATGCTTAGAATCTGAAGTCCAAGCCACCGGCTTGTCCATCGTCCGATCTTCTTCTGAGCAATATACATCTCTGTAGGGAAGTACACTGTAAGTGGCCAAAATCCAAAGGCTCCAAGGATCCCAACAACGTCGTTGAAGAAAGGCATGAGCATGGCTATGAGAGTTGTCAGAGCCACAAAAATGGTCCTCCACACTAAACGGAAGAAATTTATTTGGTAAACGCCACAGAATGGGATTGGTATGTCATATTCTGCAGTCACAAAGTCACTCTTTGACCACCTCTTTGCACTCCATTTCTCCACGAATGCAAACAAGGGCTGGCAATAGACCTGCAGTATGACAGTGGTATATATATCATATTGAAAACGATGCTCTCTGTCAGCAATTTTTCTGGGTATTTCAATGGTGATTGGTGATTTTAACAAGTCTGTACCTGATATGCACCAACAAGATGGACAACAATAGCAATATTAGCTATGTCAAGTAACCAATAAGGGTTGTAAAATCCAAATCCAGTGAGAAGATTTCCAGGAGCTTCATCCCCAAAAGCAGCATAGCCCATGCATCCACATAGTAAATAGAACACAGTTGTGACAGTGATGCTCAGTAAAGTTGCCTTCTTCATGGTCTTGTGCTCTGCTGGAGGAGATTTTATTGTGTCCTATTGATGCACACATAACAACCATCAGCATCAAACAATTGTCACAATAAGTTTTTTTCCAAGAACTTTTTTGTTGAGAAAGTGGGATATAATCAATCACTCACCTGAATTTCAATAAGGATGATTGAGAAAGAGTATGCAAAAGCAATTGCTCCAAGAGCCTGCAAACTCCTCCACATCTTCTGTGTAGATGTAACTGTTCCGGCATGCGTTATCATTCCGATGCTGATGCCCGTCAGGCTTCCTTTGATGCTTCCATTTTCTAAAAAAATCAAGTCACATAAACAGATCATTACTTATGTTTGCTAAATTTGGCAAAGCAGATTAAAAGCAGAATATATTGATGGCTACCTGCAACTTTGGCAATGCCTAGAGCAAGACCAACAGTGGAGTATGTGAATGACATAACAGCTGCAACAATTGAGAGCCACCATATTTGATCAAAGTCTGGAATCTGGGAAAATAACACCTCTATGATTCCAAATGTTATCATATAACCGTTGCTCGACATGTGACACGGGTTTTTACCGTGACTTTTATGGAAGCAGTTCGATCTCTTTATTGCCCTGAACCCAAAAAAAAAAAAAATAGAGACAAGAATAAACGAAACAAACCAGTTCTTTTTAGAAACATTTCTCTCCAACAATTCTAATACAGAAATTTAAGAAAATTATGTATAATTGTGTTGTAGATTCTGCAGAAAACACACATCATGCTGACTGAGGCCGCGATTGTGTATCCAATTGCCACGCCAAACAAATTGAAATATTGAATTAATCCACATAATGTGACCTTTCCTCCCCCTGCCAATTATGTCATCACCATCGTCACTGTCATCGTCGTCACAATAAGTGCAGTGTAATTTTCATCTAGGAAAGATCATATGAACAATTACTCACCAAGGTTAGCCTTGACTGCGTCCATGTAGGTGTAATTCCTCGGTCCAGTGACAGGGTCGCCAGCCCGATAACACTGGGATAGGAGGTTTGATGTGTAGAGAATTACAAAGGCAAAGAGGATCATAACAGTAGGTCCAGCAACCCAGCCAAGCTGCCCTATCGCCCATGCCAATGAGAGCACACCCGACCCTATAACAGCAGTGATAATATGGGATGTTGCAGTCCAGAAAGTCCCTGCAACACAAAACACAAATAATGGCATCATGTGTTCTTATATTATTAACATCGTACACATACATACTTACCCCAAAAAAAAAAAACATCGTCTACGTATCATAGTTTGGAAGGTTATTTTTTGTGCTTTCTCACCTTTTTTTATATTTAATTACATTCAAAATGAAAATGGCTTCTTCATGAAAAAACTAACATTTTTTTATCCAGTAATAAAGCTAATTCATGTGTTTTTTTAGGTGGGTAGGTGAAGTTTTCTAGTTTGAGTAATAAACTTGTTAATTTTTTTAATAAAAGTAATTATTTATGTAAATCTTTACCAGTTCTCTTCAAGCGGCCATCATCGTCGAAGCACTTGGAATAGTTAGCCTGAAGGTTTATTGCTTCACTTTCACTGCAGTGAGCTTTAGGTTGGGCCTCCACTTGCAGGTAATGTCTGATATCATGCCTTTCTACAACCTATAAGAGATATGCACAGTCAATAACCTTAAAAGAAGACAACAAAGAAGAAGAAAAAAAAAAGTATTTTATTCGATTAGGTGCATAGGATGATCTTACGTCGCCATTATGAAATCTAGGAGGAAGAGTTCGACTTCTTGGCAACATGATCAGATGCACAATTTAAAATTGATAGGAAGCTCGATCGAAAATATGTGATTTTTTTTTTTTTTGGTTATAGGAGAGAGAATGTCGCAAGAAGCTAGGACTGTGACAGAGAAGGAAAGAGCTTAGGGGAAGTGGTGGGTAATTGAAAATGGAGACTGTTGTTATATAGGAGAGGGAATGACGGTGTAAATAGACCTGTTGGTAGGAGATGAAGGTGGTGGGACTCGTTTGGACTTAATCGTGTAACATGCCACCACTTACTATACATGATACATGATTACCAAAAAGACACAAGGAATTCCATACACTTCTTGTGAGAGGAGGTGTAAGGTTGTGGTATTATAGACTTTTTAGAGTAAAATAACACGTGCGGGTTATGGTGTCTCAAAATAGTATTGGGTATTGTATAGTACATACCAATTGTTGCTAGTATTGGGTATTGTATGGTACATACCAATTGTTGCTAGATAGAAAAACAAGTTGACCCTGAAGGATTCAGCAGATATTATGGTGTCACTAGCTAATTCGATAACTACAATTGAGTATTTTCAACGCCTTCGCCAGTGCAGTCTTTTAGCCATTTTGACGAGCGAAACTCCAAGTTTGGTGCTCCAATGCCCTAGCTATCAAGTACGCTAAAATCTAAGAAGTCAAATTACTCGCTAGATCTGATGAGGAGAATTGTTCGTCAGTTGCTGTTGTGAATCGGGTATTCCTTGCTATTGCTTGCTATTGCTGATCCTTGCTACTGCTGTGAATCAGATAAGTAAAACGCTCCTCCCCCCAAATTCTAAAACCCCTCAAAATAAATTCTGAAAGCCCTAACAAATTTTGAAATCCCCCCTCCCAAATTTTGAAAACTCCTTTAGTTTTATATATAACAGAATATTTATATTTAGACCCCTATAAAATATTAATGTAAGTATTTGAGACGTATTGTGCAATTAATTTTTGTTATTTAAAGTGGATGGGTGTTAAATTGTCATTAAATTGTATTATTTAAAGTTTAATTAGAATTATTATTATGGTATAATTTTGGTTGGGTTAATGATTATACATGCTTTGAGTTAAAATTTTGAATTATATTATTAAAAATTAGTTGAAGTAGTAGGTAAAATAGAGAGTGTGGTTGGAGTAAATTTGAAAAAATGGTTAATTGAAATAGAGAATATAATATTTAAATATATTTTGAGTAATTATTTTATTGAATAAGATAAGAGGTACTCTTAGATAACTCGGACATTGTCAGACAACTTGGCCGAGTAGTTTGAGACTCATGGGTCACATGTAACATAGAATAACATAGGAACAAAACAAACCGAGTCGAATGCGAGTCAATATCAATATCCATCAATATTTTAAACCAATGTCAAAAGAGATTCAACTTTATTCTTCCTCTCAACTAGGTATCCTTTCAACCTGCTTCATGGTGGACATGGTAGTTCAACTTTTACAAGAGGCCAGCTCAAGTAGTAATCGTAATGTCCCCTTTAATCTCACCACTTTGAACCCCCTCATTGCCTCTTTCTCCATCCAGTCTTCAAACGCACCGTGTTCATATATTGGTATAGAACATATTGGATTCACTCGACACATAGTTGACCATTCATCACGAATCTAGAAAAATCAATTTGCCATCGAAAGGCTGAATTAGATTTAAGAAAATTGATCCGAAATCTATTCATCGATTTTTTTTAGACTCGTTTTTACTACTTTATACTTATGCTTGATTTTTCTCGTTTGTTGATTTAATTCACTACAATTTTTGAATTCACTGTAAAATTTGTTATTTATCTTTGATTCTAATGAAATCACATCATCAGATCAATAATTGAGATCAAATTTATAGGTTTGAATAGCATTACTCATTCTTTAATAATCAAACAGAGGCAACTAGGCAAACTATCATTTATTTATGAGAAGGTAAGGTGTGGAAACAATAGGATACCCATATTTGTTTCTTTTCTATTAGTGGGTGGTTAACTAGGGTTAATACTCGAGCCGAGCTATTTAGGTTTGACTCGAATTCAGTTTGTTTTGGGTATATTTCGTTTAAATTTTTTAAACGAGCTGTACTTGAACAATTTTTTCAGTTCATTCTAAAAAACGAACATAAAAAATTCGGTTTGCTAGTTTTCTAATCGAGCTAAACTTGACAATATTTTAAATTTATTTAAAAAAATGAGTTCAACAGGCTCAACTCAACTTCGTAGAGTTCGACTCGTTTATTAGCCCTTATGATTAATATACATCTCCGGAAGTGGTAACATTTGAACTTTCCATGGTTATTTACCTATCCATCCCTTCTCATGGCTAAGCATTCTTAGTCTTTCTTACTACTTGTTTATACTTTTTCTCTTTCAAGCACAAAGGGTATTTTGGTAATGAACTGAAACATTTTCCTGTTTGAGCAAGCTTGCCTCACATGGAGATCAGTGGAGTCTTCTCCTGTAAACTGAGAAGACATGATCGCCAATGGGCATCTAAAGGGTGCTACCCTCAAAGAGTGCTTGCTGACCCTCCCACCACCATCAACATATGTTCACAAGCCCACTAAAAAGAAAAGAAGAAAGAAGATGAAGAAGAAACTGTTGCAAACTTTCTTGACCACTAACAGACATAGTGGCGATCCCTTTCTTAATTTGGTAATTTGTTCTTTTTGGATAAGTAACCAGAAAAAAAAAAAAAAAAAAAGAAGCTTAAAGTTATGATCAACTCTTTTTATATTATAACTTTAAAATGATGTCTTAAACACGAGTAACACATATGCAATGATGAGTCTAGACTCGAGGGTAGGCACAGACGACTACAAATCATGGACACCTTCAAATTATGTACATTTGGCTTCTCCCAACATTTCAAAATTTTAGAAAGTGTGCCCGAAACAAATTTTTGATCTTTCCTTACATGTTTGATCGGCTAACTAGCATTCGTGGCTCAGCTCAAACGAGTGATTAACTTAAATAATAGTCAGACGTGATGATTAAATTGAGTTAATTACTCAATTAAATTTTTTTTTTAAATAATTAATCAATTTAGAACTTTGAAGTATTTGTATATTCGATTTGTGTCATAAGTATATTGCTCTCTACTTTAGATTCTTTTTCTCATTATTGTCACACCATTAAGTAAATTTTGACCCTTTCAAATCGAAGAGGTAATCATTGGTTTGAAGAAAGCAAGCAACACCTAAAGCTGTCTAAATTATTGGGGTTTTTTTATTTATTAGTATTTTCCCAGAAAAAATTCTCTACCACTTGTTATGCAGAAGCACTCAAAGGTGCACCACCCAGTAATGTCACTCTTATTTCCCCCCCCCCAATCTTCTGTTGTCTTTTCAAATTTCTGTAGTGTTCTTGGTACTATCCGTTGTTTGCTAATGCTACCTAGATATTAGTGCAATGTCTCTAAATGAGCTCAGATAATCATTAATTGTCCTCCCTCCACAACAGGAGGGAAATCGAAACACGTACCCAATAAGCCCTTCAGTTGTTCAATGACTTTCTTAGTGCGGCTCCAGGGTTTTTTAAGACAATTTTTTTTTTATGACAATAATATTTATCGTTACAAAAAAATAGTTTTTTTGAAAATAAATAAATTTTTGTAATAGTAGTACTATCATAAAAAATTTATTTACTATCACAAATATTATTTGACATAAGTTATTGCCGCCACAAACACTTTTTGAAACCTCAATTATTATCGCAAAGTGTTGTTATGGCATGTCTCTTTGTAATACGTAGACTCTGAAAACGTCTTTATGTAACAACGACAGTCTAAAATTGTGTTTGTGACATCAAATAAATTTTTTATGACAATACTATTATCATAAAAAAATATTTTATTCTTTCAAAACATATTTTTTTTACAATAGACAGAGTCGTTACAAAAAATTTGTCTAAAAAAACTCTAATTCTTGTAATGGTTGTATTGAATGACACTTTCAGTTGTATTAGAGCATCTCTAACAGACTATGCAAAAGAGCCTTGTTAGCTATTTTAGATAGTCACTCCACAAATTTTGGCTCCAACGGATTAGGTATCTCGCTCGCTATTATGCATAAGCCAATATTGGCTCGCTGGATCTAGCGAATGAGCATGCTAGGTATTTCCTCCAAAATCGTCACTACACAAAGCTCTATAAAAAGGCATTGTCTTTATCATCGCAAATCAATCCACAAAAGGCTCTCTCAACAGAAGACATCGTCTTCATTGCCAAACACAGTCCACAGTATTGTCTTCATCACAAATACTCCATCTCTGGGAGGGTCTCCGTCTCTCTCGCTCTCTTTCACAATCGATCTCACCCTCTCTATCTCTCAATCAGCTCTGAAGCTCCGTGAATCGGGAGCCTTGAAGCTCTAAAAGGGATTATGATGAAGCTCTAAAGCTTTGTATATCTTATTCTTTGATATTTACTTTTGTAACCTATTTTTTATAATATTTACTCTTGTAGCCCATGATTAAATTTATACAATGTATAATTGAATTTCTATTTTTTGAATTTTATTATTGAAAGTTAGTTAAAGTGGTTAGTTAAAATAGATAGCGTTGTTGGAGTGAATTTGAAAAAACGGTAAGGTAAAATAGATAATATAATATTTAAATATATTTTAAGTAGCTATTTTAGATAGCATTATTGGAGATACTGTTACTCGGACAATGAATTGTGAAATGTAGGGTTCGTATTATATTCAAACTGTGAGTTTTAAAATTTGATTAAAAATTTTGGATTGCAAAAAAATTACAATGCAGATATGACAAACGTGGAGCTTTTTTTTTTTTTTTTTTGTAATTTAAGCAATCTTGTTGGGACTTAATTTGGATATCTATCGAAGTAGTAGTGGATTCTCAGGATAAATGGATTTGATTATAAATTCAATAATTTTAAATTAGATTCTCAAATTAATAAATAAATAAAATTATTGTTTTAATCTTTTGGGTTTTTTGTACTTTGTACCCTAAATTTTTTTAAATTTTTTACTTTATACCTTCAAAAATTAATTTTTTATATTAAATTCTCAATGTTGTTAATATTACAATGCGACTCTGACGAAAAAACTAATAAAAAAGTCATATTGTAATATTTTTAATATATTAAGGTATAATTATGAAAATTTTAATTTTTAAAGGTAAAAAATAAAAATTTTAAAATCTTTTAGGGTACAAAGTAAAATTCATCCTAATCTTTTATGCCAATGACCAAATACAATTGAAACAAGGGGAAAATACGACACCGTATGGTCTTGTCTTAACTTTCAAGTTTCTTGTCGCCCAAGCTCGCCCTCTCTCTTTCTCTCTCTCGCCGATCGCACAAAATAGAAAGCAACAGAGGAGGTCAGCAGACGACTGATAGATAACCTAGCGAAAAAGCAAGTATCTGAAAGACTTTACAAATGGCCCGATACGACAGAGCGATCACGGTGTTCTCGCCTGACGGCCATCTGTTTCAAGTGGAATACGCCCTTGAAGCTGTCCGCAAAGGCAACGCAGTTGTCGGCGTCCGTGGCACCGACACCATCGTCCTCGCCGTCGAGAAGAAATCTACCCCCAAGCTTCAAGACACCCGGTATGTAGTTTGATTATCTAATCCTTTGGTTATATCGTTGAAATGTACTATGGGTGTGAACGATTGTGATGAATTTGGGGTTTAGGGTTTTAAAACGTTTTGGTCGTACTTGTTTATTTCGAAAATGTTTGCAATTCTGTGTTTCCTCCTATCCTCTTGATTGATTCGATGTCAACTATTTTGTTGGTTATGCTTGAGTGATGCTTAGATTAATGAGGGCCTATAATAGCGTTATTCATTTCCGACATAAATGATAGATGGTCCCTTTCCATTTATGTGATTATTTGGGTTATACTTTACCAAGACATGAGTTTATTGCAGCTTGAGAGGTTGCAGGTAAATGCCGCTGCAATCAATTTTTAATGAAGATCACGGGATGCACCTAATGGTTTTTGCTCATCAATTGGAACCCTAGTTACAGTTATTACTTGTAAAATAATTGTGTTGATATTTCCTGATTTACATCAAATGTCTGGCAGATTCGTGATTGTCATTTGTCTTAATGAAGATTGCAGGATTCAGGGGAAAGTATGTATATAAGGAGAAGTAAACACAGCAGGGAAGTGGGTTTGTTATTTTGATATTTGGGTAGATATGTATTGTAAGTGGACAGTTATTCCATTTATTAGATATAGCTTGTTCCTTGGATTTGGTATAGCTTGACAAAATGGTTTTTGAAATTGTCTGTAGAGGTTGAATCAACTGCTAGTCCGAGGCTAGCACATGTGTTACACTCACAAACCACGATGGATATCTCCATTGTCTAAATACAATAGACTGCACTCAATTTTCATCTGTGATTGTTTTTTTTTTGATGTAAATTGCACTTTTCTTTTAGTCCCTGAAATTTTTATCCTTGTAAGTAAGCATAAATTCAATGGGAACTACCTGCAGGACATATAAAAATCCACCTGCAGGACATATAAAAATCCATTAAAAAAAATGTATAATGCCAAAAGAAAGCAAGTTTTGTGAGCATCCTACAAAAGAATCCAGAGAATGTCTACCCTCTGACCCAAATGGCAAAATATTCTAAAGAACATGTTCAGCTTAAGCACTGACGGCTGCAACCCCTCAAACGATCTCAGGTTCCCTCCTTCTTCACTTGCCGAAAGAAGGATGAAGGGCCCGATTTCCAAAAGACCGTTGCTCTTGTTAACACCCCCTCAACATAGCTTTGTGGCGTAAAATAATATGTTAACTCGCGAAATGTTGGTCAATTTAATTTTTTTTTTTTTTTGAGAGGGGAATGGGACTTTAACCTTTGACTTCAAAAAGGCAAAGCTTTTACAAGGTTAGGAGTACCATTGAACTAAAGACTCATTGGTAGTCAATTTAAATTGACGCATGAAAGTTTAAATAAAATCAATATTGGTCAATTTAAATTGGCCCATGAGAGGTTGAAGAAAATCATTGTCTTAACTTAAGTTTTTACTTTTTGTATTGTACTGCTTATATAACAAAGGATTCTAGAAGATTTTTAAGGCTTGTGCATACTGCTATAGGATAACAGGATGACAAAGTTTCACCTCTGCTTCACAACTTATATAACTTGTGTATGATGCATTTAGTTCTAGCTTATGATTGTTATGAGTATACTCCTTGGTAGGAGACCCATTTTATTACATCTTAGACTATTGGCCATAGATGAAGCTATTACATGGGCTTGTCTCTCATTTGTTTTGATTGGAATTTATCTGTACAACATTATTCTTGGCATGCCATTAGAGTTTCTTCTGCTTATTGCCTATTTTGTTGCTCTTACTTTCAGATCGGTTAGAAAAATCGTAAATTTGGATGATCACATTGCGCTGGCCTGCGCTGGACTGAAAGCAGATGCGCGTGTTCTGATAAATAGGGCACGTATTGAATGTCAGAGTCATAAGCTTACAGTTGAAGATCCTGTGACTGTTGAATACATAACACGCTATATTGCTGGTCTCCAGCAAAAGTATACACAAAGTGGTGGTGTAAGACCATTTGGCCTTTCAACCTTGATCATTGGCTTTGACCCATACACTGATGTTCCATCACTTTATCAGACAGATCCATCAGGAACGTTTTCAGCATGGAAAGCTAATGCAACTGGGAGAAACTCAAATTCAATTCGGGAGTTTCTGGAGAAGAATTACAAAGAGACATCCGGCCAAGAAACCTTGAAGTTAGCCATTCGTGCTTTGCTTGAAGTAAGTTGCCTTCATGCACACTTCATGTCAAATTTGAATTTGGCAGTGTGCTGCCCTTGAATAGCTTCTTTATGGTTTTACACTTTCAAACGGTGATAATTGTCCTGCTTTCAATTTATATTGAATACGTTTGATTGTTTAGGTTTTGAAAATGGCCATTGTGTCATGTTCAATCCAAAATGGGTTAATTTGTTAACTGTTGTAGCATCTTTGGAATCCTTGTGCAAACAATTGACTACAGGTGCTTTTGTTTAGTACGGTCAATTGCAACCTCTGCCATCTTTGTTCTTTGATTTTGTTTACCATCTTTGTTCTTTGATTTTGTTTATTTTTGAATAATCTCAATACTTGATGCAGTAGCCCATAGACTATAAGTAAGATTGTTATAATTGTATAGGATTACTCATCACACCACTGGCTCATCCTCTCACTCCAAAATCCCATAATCCAATTTTCACCTTTCACTTTGTCTAAATCCCACAATTTGTTAACTGTTTTATTGCTCTACCTTCATGCTCTAAAAGTGTGAGTGATTAGCTTTATAGGCCAAAGCTCCCTACTCTTATCTCTCCTCTTTTCTTGAAGGGGGCCTCCTGTCCTCCCCATTACGTGGGGAATGTCTAAAGGCAGAATTACCACTCTATCCAAGGTTCCAAGCAGGTTTTTCACATCGATCCCCATCGCTCGTTTGTTGCAAAAAGGAATAAAAGAAGTCCCCTTTTAAGATTTGGTGGTACAAATGATTTTTTCTGCATCTATCTCCTCTCCAATCTGTCCAAATTATTAAAAAGGCATCGAATCAGAAGGCTTTTATCTCTTGGGATAGGAACATGGGATGGAGGTCCTACACAGAGAATATTGAACCTGCCTCTCCAACTCAATTTGAGTTATCCAACTATTGAAAACATTCTATGTTTGTCTCCATTTCATATGGCCAATTGCCCTTGATTTTATGTTTTCTTGTGACTTTATATGAAACCCTTTCTAGCAGTATTGCTTTTGGCTGTCTTTACTATTGATAAACTCATCTAAGCTTCCTGAATTTCATTTAAACTTGTGCCTTTGAAACCTTCCAAATAGAAATAATTACCTTCAATTTTCGTTTCGTTTCATTTCCTTTCTCGTCTTTTTTCCTTTGGATTGGGGGGAAGGTTTATCTGATTGTCAATATCTGTCTTTTTGTGTTTAATCTTTTGGTTTTGCATAAGGAGATGTTGCCTTTACGGTAATGAGCTTCTCTGACCTCAATGTGTATCAGTGCATGCATGTTAACTTGAATTGTTCAGCTTGTGCCAATCATTGCGAATATAGTGTGTGTGGGCTTGCAGCTACATACTATTCAATTTTATGATTAAATATCAAAGGGTACAATTTTCAATAGTCTATTTGTCTGTATCACTCAGTATACAAGGCAAACAAAAATCTGTAAATGATTCCACTTTCACCATAGATATAACTTTTGCTGGACTTGAAGTCCCATTAAATTTTGTTCTGCCTGTAAAATGAAATGTATGTGGAACGCATGGTTCAACCACCTGCATCACATAAGATGCTAGCAGCAACTATAAATTGTACTCAGGCCTACAGATAACTGGGCCTGATCTCTTCTTTGGGTGGGGAATTTTTTTTGGAGAATCATCCCTTCGGATTGATGTGATGAATGATAGTGTGATGAAATCCCAGGATCAGTCTTAACTTATCTGATGGCAAATTATACTGCAGCAATATGTTCTGATTCCTCATTTCTCTTGCCATAAACATACCGTTAGGTTTTTGAATAACTAGTTGATAGATTTGCATGGAAAAGAACACCACTCTATATTCGAAAGAAATCTGACCAGGTGGCTTGATGTATACCTGATTGAATTGGCCTTGCTCGTCATGGATATAGGAGGTTCTGTCATTTGAAAAATCTGACGTAGAGTTGTTGATCAAAGCATGGAATATTACATGTGCATGGGCTGTTTGTACAGTAATTAAGTTCAATTAGTTGACAGCATATTGGGCCTTCTAATGCATATTGATCTGTCCAATGATGATGGACTTTGTCATGTTTGGTTTGTCTTGAAAACAACTTCCAATCTTAACCTGAGTTTAATTACAATTAGGTTGTTGAGAGTGGAGGAAAGAACATAGAAGTTGCTGTGATGAAAAAAGAGCATGGACTTCGGCAACTTGAAGAAGCCGAAATTGATGCCATTGTTGCTGAAATTGAAGCAGAGAAAGCAGCAGCCGAGGCAGCCAAGAAGGCCCCTGTGAAAGAAACTTAGTCCTGCTACAGTTCTTGTACCCCATGCGCTTGCTTTTGTATTTCAAATTTTCCTGGTAAGACTGCTTTGTTAGTGTCAAATCGTTTATCATTAATTTCTTTATCAAGCAGGACCGGATTGTATTGGCCAATTCCATTTCTGGAATGGTATTCAGTCATAATCTGGTACTACAGACATACTGAATTTGCTTTCCTTCAGTTAAATGCTAAATGCTTCTCAATACTTTGTACATCTATGCTGTCCATTGATTGTAATATATGCCAACCTATGATTCAGAACTATGGCCAGGTTCGTAGAACAGAGTTCGGTATAACAAAGTAAAGCCTTGGGTAGGGACTTGTCTATGCTTCTTTCTAAAATTATAGGTTTCTTGTGAAAGGATCGTTCTGGTGATGGTTGGTATTCTTCAAAAGAAAGCACATCGTCATGTACTATAATTTAAACATAATAACATGGTGTTAATTAGTTTATTAACTACATTTCTAGAACATCTTGTGTAGGTTTTATCTTTGCTTTTTAAAACATTGAAGAACTATGGAATTAGTGATCTAAGCACGTTTACAGAATATCTGATGTGGGATATATGGTACTATCTTTTAAATGTACACACAAACTTTTAGAATAATGAAGGGTACCTAAGTTTTAGAGTTGAAATCAAAGATTTAAGAAGTCAACCATACGCCCCCTAAATGATATATTAAAGGATCAATGTTATTTGAATTTAATTTGATGGCTATTCATTGGCAACCTTTAGAAAGATTGACAGCGGGTCTCAATAATTATTAGGACTCGTCACCAATTTTATGGTTATAAAGGATTAGGCCACCGAGGAATATTATTGATTAAAGACTTGTAAACTTTGCTAAAAGAGTTGACACACCAAGTTTAGTTAGGTAAGAAAGTCATTGCACAAGAAAGGAAGAAATGTAGGTACCGAGGCGAGGTGTTGGTAAATCGTAAGTGCATTGATTGGCTTCTGAAGTCCATAATATCGACGAGGTCCAGATATTATGTACTGCCCAACCCCTTATTTCTTTTCTTGAGATGTTGGTTTTTCATTTCCATCACTAAATAGAAAGCTTTTTACCCACACTCACACTACCCATGTCACATGAGTCGTGTGAATCATTATATAAGATAAGTTTTGGGTAGAATTACAATTTTGGAATAGAAGACAATAATTCTAGAAGGGATATCCACTAATTTAGAGAGGGGGAGGGGGAGGGGATGAATCAAGACAAAAGTGAAGAATGGGAGGGGTTTGGGGGGTGGAGAGAGGGGAGGGGATTAAGTTTGGAGAAAAGGACAGGTAGTTGACCAGAAAGGGTTAGGTCGTTGCCTGATCCATCACCGCCACGAGGAGGAGGAGGAGGAAGAGACAGACCACTACCAACCCATGGGCCATGGCCACACTCTAACCCATTCCCATCCCCATCCCCATGGCCATTCTTATCCTAGCCTCTTGGCATGACCCTACATCTTCATCTTCCTTACCAAACTCTGTTAACTTCCCTCACCAGCTCTTCTTTTGCTATCCTACGCACGCTGCACCCATCACCTTTTGTACGTACCGTGAGTGCCACCCACTTAAAATGTTCATTGTATTTTTCGGAGGTAGATAAGGATATTAATGACGTTTGTCCTTTGGCCTTAGTCATTGCCTAGTTGCACTCACAAAGGTCTGAGTCGGACTTTGAACTCTTTCTCGGTTATATTTGAGTCGTTTTATTTTTTGTTTTTCCTTCTATTGATTCTCCTCCAACGGGTTTGTCGGCAGTTGTTTACCGCTTTCAGGTTTGTAGGTTGTCGTAAGTGAGTAGGGTTTATAAAACATTTTTTAAAGTCGTGTGAGCAAAGTTCAAAACAAATACATAGTATTATTGTATATTGTGATGGAAAGGATACAAAAGCTATGATTCTTGTCACACTTGAAGGGTGGGAGACATATCACCTTGGTCGAAGGCTTGAGATAGATACCAAACGAGTACATTTTCTATGTTCTTCGTATTGTGTTCTTCTGCCTAATTTTTTGCCATCGTTGAACCTGAAATTATTGTGCACCGATGCCTAGCTAGCAATCTAAGAAAGCCACTTTTCGTATTTTTGTTTCCTTTTTTCTAAATACTATTATTCAGAGGAGAAAGAAGATAGTTGTTGTCCATCCCACCATGTATTCTACTTTTTTTTAATAAACTACACGTAAGAACCAATATGGATTCTGTTAATCATTTCATGTGGTGGACTGATTTTAATAAACATTGTGTATATGCAGTCAGGGGCGGGGATAGCTTAGCCCCCCCCCCCCCCCCCTCAATTTTTTTTTTTTTTGTTAAAATTTTCTATATGTAGTTATATATTGATATTAGTACATCTTAAATATTTTAATTATGCCCACCCTATGATTTTTCTTAATTCATCGATTGCCATACCTAAATGATTATGAACTTTTGGACAAGTTATAAACGTGTCTTTGGTAAGTTTTAGATATATAGAGTTCAATTCATAATGTTTGAAAAATTAAGAAACGATTTTACTATTGCACAGAATTTAAGGCCACTATAATAAAATATAGTGTCATTTGTAAGTAATCCATAAAACTCAAAGTCAATTAAATATTACAAAATTACTTAGAGATAGAAATTTAAAAAAATTGATATAAATATATTTATTCAATAAGATTATGTTAGTCTAAAATTCAATTACCGACACATATATAGAGAGCGAGAATGAAAGAGACTGAACCGTTGTATGATCCTTCGGCGAGATATGTGATTTATCTTTATTTGAAGTCCAAACAGTCGACGATAATTTTACGACACTAGGACATATGAAATTTTTTAATCTAGCATTGAATTTTCAATTTTAGTAGGGATTAGTGATTTTGGTACAAACAAAATAACAAAGACTACTGTTAAAACTTGGTTTGTTTATCGAATTGATAATAGATAGATATGTGATAGCATAGTTATACACACTCACATATATATAAAATAATCTAGTTATTGTGCAAGGCTTTCAAAGAATAAAAACCTATCACTGTCCAATTTAAGTAATTTTACATAGCATTATTTAGAAAAGATGGTAATTATAATTTATTTTTTGTTATTGTTAGTACATCCTATGCCGATCGATTTTTAGTTTTTTGGTTTAATAAATTTTAAAATATTAAATATGATATAAGTAAATATAAATATATTATTTTATATCGACAATAAAGAAAAATTAAAACTTGTTAAATTGTCCCGTGCCCACCCAAAAATAATTTTCTGGCTCCGCCCCTCTATACGGTCCAGGTGGGGGTTGAACAAAATGCATGCCATGACAAGAGAAAAGTGACTGATTTTGATCCAACCACTACAACAAAAGTAGTTCAATTTATATTCAAATGGTGATGTCTTGATGCTTTTGGATTTCTAGTTATGAACCCCTTCTGGCAAACCATGAGTGCCTGTGGCACCAAACAAATAATGTTTTTCTAGAAGGAAGAAGGTAGAGAAAGAGATGTTTGTGTTTGTTCCTCTCTCTCTCTCTCTCTCTCTCTCATATTTTTGGGTAGATTTTCTTTTACTCAATGTAATTTTGGCTGGTAAAATTTTATATTTTGTACCTTAAATTTAAGCACTAAAGTATAACAACCAATAAGTTAACAACTTAATAAAAAAACATACAATAATACCCTTCAAATTTGTTATCTACTAAATTGAAAGCAGTAATAAATGTTATAACAAAATTTCGTAAGAAAATACCTCGACAAAATCACCTCTAATTCTAATAAAATCTTGCTTGTAATAAGAGGATTGACGAATTAGTCAGGTTGTGAGCACGGTGAGAATGGGCTACCCAAAAAGCTAGCCTGGGCTAGGGTCAGCATAGAATGAAGGGAACGGAGACGCAAAGAGTGAGCTAATTACCTTCTTCTAATGAGTGTAGTACATACAAGAAGTATGACTCCCATATTAGAATTGACATTAGATGATCTAGCTGTTTGTATACGTGGTAACTTTTTTAAGGAATATTGTTTTCCCCTTTACTTATATCAAAGGATACCCGATCAATTGCATAAATCCCGTAGTAGCAATGGAATGGGGGGGGGGGGGATAAGTATATAGAAATATCTCTTGAAAGAAAGGGATACATTTGGAAACTTAGACATCAGTGGTGCCGTCAGAACTCATTACTATCAATATAAAAATGAATTTTCAAATTAAGCTTAAGCCACGATTCTCACCAACCAATCAATAGTTTGAATGTAGTAGTAGTAATTGATCAAGCAAAAAACTCAATTCCATCGCCTACTTGAAATGCAGTGTTAGTATTTGTAATATTTACTTCTCTATTATATTTTGTTTAATATGTTCACTAATATTTATTCTCAAAATTTTAAGCAAATTAAAAATTTTAATTAATACATAAAAAGGGAAGAGAGAAAAAAGTTTCTTTATTTTAAATCCCTCCTAAGGGTGGGTAGGTTTTTACGCGTTTAATTTTTAACCTTTGATAGTTAATTGTAACAGAATTTATAGTAATCTATGTTTAGTCTAAAAGAAGAGATATACGTGTAGATACACATTTATGTGTAATTCTGTCAAGTTAGGCTATGGAAAATACGATATGCAAAGGTTTGAGCCAGGATCGGTGGACAGGGGTAGCACTCGGTCCACTTTGCACAGATTAAGAAATTAATTTTATAATTTTGGAGAGAGAACATGTGTGTTTAAAAAACCCATTATGTAACAATAGAAACAAAATTATTCCATAACCCAATTGGAAGAAAGACAGAAGAAAATGTTCCTGCAGAAACCGATTATAGACCAGACCAAGAAGATACAATTCCATAGGATAAGGCCAATCAGGGTACACTCGCACTTTGAGTTACTTTCAATGTCTATTACATCATACCCTATATATATATATATTAATTTTGAATGGTTCTAAACCTACCAAAACTATATGCTTTATCCACCGTGTTGTCACATATTACAAACCTTTTTCTTGAAATGGATAAATAAAAGTTGAGAACCATTGCATTACAAAAAAATAATAATAATATTTAATGATTGAAGGAATTTCTATTAAATTATAATATTTAATATATAATCGATCATGAATAACCTTAATTAATTATAACTTCAACAATAGCAACTATGATAAAGTCCCACAATTTTTTTTTCTCACTGTTGTAGTGCTGTCCGCAAGAGCGGCATGAATAGTTACTTCAATTTTTCTCAAAAATTCACAAATAAATTTTTTTTTGGATTATTGATGATCGTTGGAACTCTTAGTTACAATAAAAATCTTAAATACACAAAACACATTCTTGACCATACA